GGCGAGCAGCTCTTGACTGACACATCTGCTGCAGGACCAAGGATGCCAGCAACAAGTGAGGATGCCGGCAAAAAGCCATTTGAACTGGCATGTTCACAGGTTCTGGTGGATAGCCCATTTCCCATTTTTTTTCCCCTACTCCCCTTCTTAAGTCTCTTGCAGGATACTTTTAAGCAGTTGTCTCCCTCTATGTTTGAAAACAAATCAGCCAAGTTCATCTGAAGGACTGCCTGCATGGGACCATCAGAATTTGTGGCAGCATTGCCTATTGGTGCGCTGGCCCGGTCCCTCTGGCAGCTTGCAGGCTGGGCAGCAGGTCCAGTTGCCTGCTGCCTTTACCTAGGGCAGAGGAGGAAAGCGGCAGCAGGCAGGCATGCAGCTCATGCTGGGGACCAGGAGGGACCAGTGACAGGGTGCTGGAGGGAAGTTATTCATCCTCACAGCCGCTCCCCTGTTTCCCCCTCTCCCTCATATGCAAACATTTCTCCCACTCTGAAGTGGCAACAAGAGCGGCCGAGGTCCCAGAGGCAGGGTCAGAAGGGAGAGCTTGGCAGCTGCTGAGCTGCCAGAGTTGCTTGTGTGAGTCCATGTGTGCACACGTGCAGGGGGGATTAGCAAGAAGGGTCTGCAGATCAGGATCTGACCCCTACAGCTGCCACGTTTAGATCATCCTAACATAAACTGTAATGCAGGAGTCTCATCCCTGGGTCACTTCCCAAGACCTTTTGGTACCAGCATTGGCACTCAGCTCAGTTACTTTGCACAGCTGTCAGAATAACACAGCAAGACAGTATCTGGTTCAAGGGAGCACATTTAGGCTCCCTCTAGTTTTAATTTAAGATTCATTCAATCCCAGTACCCTTTTCATATATTTCTTCCTAGGATTTGCCAAAGTTTTACAGCTGATTGAGTGTCCACACTCACCAGCCAGGCTTGCAAAGATCTCGGGTACGAAAACTTCAACTGGTAGCACAAATTCTACTCACCTCTAAAGACTGGGCCTCTAAAAAAAGTTTTCAGCCATAGAAAATTTTGCTCTTAGTGCAGCTCATTTCCACCAGTTGTCCTCTTCTACCCCCACTTCTCTTATAGCTTCCCCATAGTGTAATTATGATACCTAAACTTGGTAAAAAGCCCATAATATGACTAATAACAGTCAAATTGTATTTAATTTTCACCGGGTGCATCTCACATGGTTAATTCCAATTACCTAAATAATCATGCTCTAGCTGGCTTAAGAAAGCTCTCATGGATACAGAAATGATGACAGGCTGCTAGCCTGACTAGTCAGCAGGTAAGCAGGCAGTGCAATTTTATGCCTCCTGTTGCTTAATATCACTATGGTCCTCTGCAGACTCACTGACAGGTCATAAACCAAACAGAACAGAACAGTCCTGTCCCTTTGATACTTGACTTATCCCAAAGTGCTGCAAAGTAATAATTACACAGCATTTGGTGCACTGACTGTGTATGTGAATTGAGAGACAATTATACTCACAGCAGTAACTCAGCCTGGCACATTCAGATCTGTTTTGCAGAAAGACAGGACTCTCGGGTTACAGAAGAGGCCTTGAAGAGCACCACGCAATCTTCAACTCCCTTGATAGCATCAGTATCAAACTGCACGTGGGACTCAGCCCCATACCTCTTCTAACAGTGCAGCCATGACCTGAGCCTTCACCTCTCTGTATGGTTGTCAAACCTCCCGTACCTCAAAGACAAGGCTACCAGCTAATGCTTGGTTGTGTGACACCGCAAATACTGGAGAGCCCAAGAATTCAGCCTTTGGGATCCCTCATCAGACAGGCATAAATCATGGACACTTCTGACATTTGATGTAAGCAAGGAGTAAATCAATCAGTCGCATGCACTGGCTGTAAACCATCTGGCAATGAAGACTCCAGCTGTAGCCCCAGGTCTAGGAGGAAATACCATCCACCCCACCATTCACAGAAGAGTGTAGCCAGTTCCTCACAACAGCATTCCTCCAGTGGCAGCAGGATTGCAGGGACCAATTTGAAAAGATAGGTCATCCATTTTTCAGGTCTTTGTTGGGGGCTCTGTCTTGCAGGAGACCACATCTGAGAGACTGGTAATATCACATCTTGAGTGCTGTGTCCAGTTCTGGGCTTCCCAGGACAAGAAAAAGAGGGACATGCTGAAGCAGGTCCAGTGAAGGACCACTAAGATAATTAAGGGACTGAAGCATCATATGTATGAGATGAGGCTGAAAGAGCTGGGGTTGTTCAGCCTCAAGAAGAGAATTCTCAGAGAGGGTGCAGAGTTTCCATCCTTGGAGATACTAAAAACTGACCATGCACAGCTTTGAGCACCCTCGTCTAGTTGACCTTGCTTTGAGCAAGCCTGGCCTGTTAATGCATCAGCAACATTCATCTGTTCATTAGTACACATCACCTCCATAGGATCTGGATATCAATTTCTCTCTCTATGAGCTACTGTTGCTCTGAATGTCATCTTCTCTTCGTTTTAACTATCATGGCATATGGCAATTTGATTGGCTGCCTTGAGATTTTCTTAAGGCTCCTACTGCCATGGTTTCTGAGCACCTAACCATTTATTGTCTGACCTATGACGTAATTGGCAGAAATCTCTTGCTGTTGCCCTAGCAGCACTGTGGTTCCAAACAAATCTGCTTATTTTGTGAACAGTGGTTCTGTAGAACTCATTTTATGGTTCAAATGAAAGGGAAATGATAAGGTAAAAAGGCAAAATGTGTTAATGCAATATATACAAAGTTTTTGGAAACACAGTAGCACCAAACCTGGCAGACAGAAACGCAGCCTCCTAGCCACGAGGCCAACTTGAAAAAGCCTGTTATTTATTCAGAAAGCACATTTCTCTAAGCCCACAGGATCTGACAGGGGAAGAAGTGGTGATGATGAATAATGCATTCCTGTTAGTGATACCATCAGCTCAACGTTCTACTCAGACAATTCACTCTTCCTTCAGCCTCCACAGGCTGTTCCTGGACCTGCATGCAGGCTTCAGAGACCCTTTGAGAAATGATTTGATAAGTCAGAGAGGGTAGAGGGCATTTTTTATGTAAAAACTGAAAGGAAAAGAGCCTCCCTGGATTCTGCAGGGGTGATGGGGAAGGGAAGAAGCAGCTGGAACATTGCTTTGTGGTACAGATAATTGCATGTTGCCATCTATTTGGGGATGCTGACAGGTCCCATGCCACCTATTTACTTGGTTAGATTTGGCCACTGCTGAGGATGCTCAGATATGAGGAGACACTGGTACAAGATAGCAAGTGCCCTGTAAAAAATGTGCATAAAGCCCCAGGCAGGATCTGGTGAGCCATCAGGTTCAGGAAAAGTTTACAAGCAAGCAACTCTGAGGACCTGCTCAGACCACAAGGGCTCGGTCTCCACGGGACTTCAACACCTTCTGCTTGAAAGATTTGAGAGCTGTGCCCCCCGCCCTCACTGAGCCAGCCCCAACTCCTCTAACACGTGCCCTAGCAGGGGGCTGGCTACTTATTCCTGTTTATGAAACACAGTCCCTCCCAAACCCCTTGGCTCAGTTGCATCTAGCAGCCCACAGTGTGCCCTTTGGTCCCCCCCTCAACTCTTCCAAACCGAGCTCATACAGACTGTGTCCACCTGCAGATGCAGGCCCAGTAGCCCCTTTCCTGCTGCTAATGATTCCCCCACAGGGGCTATATAGCAGCTAACTGCAGGTACATTCTCTTTGAAGATACGCCCACACTGCCACTCCAAGCCCCTGACCTGTCCTAGTGGGCCAGCTTGAGGGCAGATCACAAGCACTTGGGGGACTGCAGCCACCTCGCTTGTCTAACTGCTGGAAGATGCCTAACCCTCCACCAGTGCCCTTCCAGGCACTGTTGTCTGGGCCAGCATCCCTTGCTGAACTCACCTCTTCACCGTGCGGAGCAGGGTGGAACGCGCCTCGTTGTGGAAGGTGATGATGAGGCTGGTAGCTGGTAAGTCTGTGTCATAGCGTACAGAAGTGCACCTGCAACATGGGAGAGCAGAAGTGTAAGCAAGCCAAACATTACCCAGCAGCAGCCGCTGTGGCAGTGTACCTAGAATTTCTAAAGAATAAGAGAATAATATGTTAAAACTAGAAAGACCACAGTTGAGCTGCAGCAAGGGAGGCCTCAGCAGCACCTGCACCAAGCTTGGCAGAACTTAAAAAAGTTCTTAAAAAAGAACTTAAAAAGAACCGTGCCTGTTGAAAGGCAAAGTTTTGAGACTGTGATACCTAAACTTAAGATGCTGCACGCTGATGATGTTGCATGGGTTTCATGGGGAACAAAGGTTCAACATTGTGGTCCCTGGATTCACCTGTGATTCATGTAAAATCTTTTTTATTCCTGCATAGGACATGCGCATGCTAAGGGTGCATGGAGCTGGTACACCAGGCAGCACTGTATAAAGCACTTCAAGTTATTTGGACATTGGGCTTTACCGAAAAGAAAACACTAGCTAGTGCTGTGATCTGCATCAGGGTGTTGCTGAAGTTCAACACTAACACCTCAGCTGGCAATGGAAAGCAATTCCTCCCATCTTCTCATCTGACTTGGTAATGTTAGGTACATACATTCATTCTCATACTCAGAAACAAGGATTAACTCAGGATCACCAGGGCTGCTCATACCCTGTGGAGAACAAGGATCCTTGGAGGAAAACAACTCACAGATGTGAATCCTGGATCCAATTCTGGCAGATAGTAGGAATGGCAGATTTGGGCTGATCTGCTCCTCCAGAGTGCCCGCTGCCTTAACTTCCAGCCAGTGTCAAAGAGCAGTCAGTCTGCACTAATTCCCTGACCAATGAAGAGCCCACACCTGAAATTGCGGCCTAGTGTTTTTAACACCTCAAGGCCATGCAGAGACTGAATCCATCTTGGGAGGGAACACAATACAGTTCTTACAGCCACTACTTGTACTTTCACATTTACTTACTATTCCTTTATGCCTATTACTAAACTGTTACTGTTTTTATCATCACATTCAATCCTACTGGTTTATGACTTTTTCATTGCAATATTTTATTAAGGGGACATCAGCTTCTTACAGCAATTTTCAAACATACAAAGAAACCTTGATAAAGACTAAAGTGGAAAACCTGAGACTAGACAGAAGACATACCACATTTATTATTGTTTCAACATAACTCCATGATGTAATGCATATAAAATGTATTAAGGCATCAGGAAGTGGAAAAGCACCAGAGATTGGTGTATGTGTTATTTAGGGATGTCCTCCCAAGATCTCAGCATTATTGCAGCATCACAGAGGACAAGGGCAAGGTTTGTGCTTGAAAGTCGGCCCTCTCCTTTGGATTAAAAAACCAGCTATGTGCTAGGTCAGAAGGAACTTGTAGGATGTGGAATCAAGTATGTCCAAACTCTGCTTGGGTGCCTGAAGAAAAAGTGACATGTTAGTGACCTATTGACCCCCCACTCCTTAAACAGGGAGCCAGGTCCACTTGTGACACAAGGATGGGCTTTTCTCAAATCACAGTCCAACCTGTACCAGCTGAAATAAGTCCTCATCCTAAGCTGCCATCCCAGCAACCACTCCAATATTGTTACAAACTATTTGAGTTTACAAGACACTTGACTTTACAAGACAGACTGTTACAAGACAGGGACTCAAACACAGCTCCCTCATTCCCAAACCGCCACCTCTGCAAAGGGAAGGAACACGGAAACAGGTTTATCTGCTCTGATTATACACTGCCCTGGACTCCCCATTGCTGAAGGGAATCCTTGCAAAGCTGGGGCTGAAATGACCTTACATTTCCAGGGAATCACATATATGTTGTTCTTCACTCTGAAACGCATAAATGAGGCTTTTCACAAAAAACATGCTCTGCATGCTACCACAGATCAAAATAAGCAATAATTCATCTTCGAAGTGAGCTGTTTTTAGGCCAGAACATGACAGTGATTAACAGAAAACAGGAATACTGCATGGCAGGGAGACTTGTCAGTAACGCGGGACGTGGCACCGCTGCCTCTGAGTCACTAGGAAGCCAGTCCTGAGTACTATGCCAGGGAACAGGAGCACAAGACTTTCATCTCGCAACCAAGGTCCCAACTGCTTGCATTCACGAAGCACCCTGATGGCTGTCAGTGCTGGCAGGCTCACAATGCTCCATGTCTCCTGACATCCCTTTCACAGATTCAATAAAGTTAGATGCCTGGTTTCCTGTTCCTAGCAGCTGTGAAGCATTGCTGTGCAACCCTAGGTAGGGTCTAGGTTCCAGACCAGACCCATAGACAAGCATTTCAGACATGGTTAGTTTGCTTCTATTTTTTCTCCATTGAAGTATGTCTACACTATCCTACCACTATCAAACCTACAGTTTTCAAGATACAACATTATCTTTTTGTGCTCCAGGTACTACAAAACAGTTACCCGAGCACTATTAGCAACTTAAAGGTGAGTTTAGTCAGCAAAATAAATTCACCTCCTGTGAAACAAGGACAGAATGATGAGCACTTTGCAAGCCATGAAATATTCACTGTATTCACATGTTAGTTTTATCCCCACCCCAGCAGCCTTCATCCAAACCGTAATGCTCAGGCTGAAAAGAAGGCACCAAACCAGCTTCAGACAGCCAGGGCACAGCAGGTGAGGAACACCAGAGTAGAGCAGGGCTGCCACAATGGCGTACCTTGCAGCCAGGACAGAGGGTCACTGAGAGAAGCCATGAGTGTGAGGGGAGTTGTGCAAAAAAACAACTGTCAGAGGAGCAATTTGAGCTGCAACAGAAGGGCTGTCCTGAAACAACAAGATGATGCTTGTACCTAGGAGAAGAGATGCTAGAAAAGCAACAAGTTGGGGCTGAATTAGTCAAGGGTCTCTGCGCACTTGAGACCTTTCCAGATTAACCATGAAGTACAGTGAAGTAACGGACCAACGCTGGCAAAGAAAACCCAAACCACCCTTTGTCAACATTGCAGAACAGCACAGGAGGGCAGTGGACTCCCCACACCAAGCCGCAGCCGTGGCTTGGAGGAAGGGCTGCACGGTACCTGTAGTGCCTAGTGTCCCGAATGGGCCGATCGCTGCTGAGTTTGTCGCTCTCTAGCTGATTAAAAGCGTGCTGGCGGTAGGGGTCTTCTCCAGCCTTCAGCAGCTTTGAGGACAAATAAGCCTTTTCGTCAAAACCCCTCCGGCTGTTCTTCTCTCCTTGGGGAGCCCTTGTCATCTAGAGCAGAGACAAGCATCAGAGCATCAGGGAGAGCAGCTGACTCATGTTTAGACACAGGTAATAAGTTCAGACATGCGTATGCTCAGGCAGGCGGTTTGCCACGCATCTGGAAGTGGCTCAGGTATGGGGGAAGGCAGGACAGGCAAGAGCTTGGAAAGGAAAGCAGGAAACCCTGAAGGTGTGGTGTTATAACTGCTTTCTCCAAGGAAAACTGCAGGCCTTGCTATCCTTACCGACTGAGTTTGGGATGAAAGCTGCAGTTCCTGGTAGCACAGGCAGAACCAAATTCCCTTTAGGACTTGTTATGCAAAACGTCCAGGCAACGTTTACTGCCTGACTGCAGGCATTTGGAAACCCTTCCAGGCAACACGGGTTTGCGAGCAGCCTACAGCCGATGTGGCTGAAACACAGTATTTTGAGGAAAAACAATTTCAGCCTTTCGGCAATAACTATCGCATACAGAGGCAGTTGATTTAACATGTTCGCAGGCTGTGCCTTGCACATCTTTGCCCAGTCTCGCAGAAGTCCATGACAAAGCTCCCTAAAACTGCTAGAAAAGGCAGATTCTGGCACATCCATATCTCATCCAAAGCACTGGACGATCCCCAGATCTTGAGATCCTTCTGTGTAAAACAGTTTGGATACCCTCTAATAATAGGCTTGACGACATTCCTCCACCTTCTATAAGGCTCCTTTTAGGAGTTTTAGAGGGCAAGAGACCTATGGACCTATGGTCCCCAATATCACACTGCATTTTGGTTAAGCCACCTAAATGGGTTGGGAAACAACTCAAGAAACACATCACCGTGGCAAATTCCTGAAGCAGGAGAGCACTCAGAAGAACAAACACCCCTCTACCTTTCTCTGAGAAGGGCTACCCTGCAGCGCAGACAGCCCTAAGAGAACCAGACAGTTGGGTAAGACGATAGCAAATGAAATTCAGCATAGACAAGTGCAAGATAATGAACATTAGAAGAAACAAACTGAACTACTCATGCACGCTGATGGATTTCAAACGAACCATGACCACTCGCGTTATCAATCTGAGCATCCCCATGGACAGCTCCATGAGATCCCGTACTCAGTCTGCAGAGATGGGAAATACAGCAAATCGAGTGCACTGCGAACGGGACAGAGAAAACTGTAACTGTGGTGAATGCTGTTATACGACATCGATAACAGCTCAGCAGCCGGGGCTGGAGTGCAAGTTTTGTCAAACTGGTCTCTGGAAGGAAGCTGCTGGCGGATGAAGAGAAATGAAAGGACAGGACTATTCAATTTGGAGAGAAGATGAATGAAGTGAGAAAAAAATTGGAGAAGGCCTGTAAAATTATGCCTAATGCAGCTGAGGTCAGCCTAATGCTCAGACTGCCCTTTCTTACCATACAAGAACAAGGGAAACACCTTTTCATGGGGCGGGGGGGGGGAAGCGCCACTGTTCTCAACACAAATCATTCAACCACCGCACAACCAAGCTGCTGCATATGGATTTACCCCAGGGCAGGGCTCGCACAGGCACACTTAGGCAGGCAAGTCGGCCTCCATTCCACCCCTCCGGGCCACCGGCGGCCTGCCCTGCCGCCC